ACGGAGTACCTCCAATCAATCCCGATGGACCACAGGCCGTAAATGGACCACAGGCCTTAAATGGACCACAGGCCTTAAATCCTATCGATGTCAATTCTCGTGTTGCGATCCATGGAGATTTAGGCAGCGACCCAAAAAATAGCGTCCGTAGAGACGCCCGGAAAGCCGATCAGAATGCACAGAGCGGAGAAGAAGGCGAGATTAGACTTCAAATGATATTTGAAATGTTACAAACTCAGCATGCTGCAATAGCGCAACTCCAGAATTGAGCACCAAGCAGGATCAAACTCGATACATCACAGGAGGTTGTTCATAGGGTCGAACCTGTGCGGGAGAAGTTGAACGATAATGGATCAGGGACTGACCCCGCCGTCATGAAGATGCTCGAGGAGCTCACTAAACGGATAGAATGGGGTGAAAAGAAAATCGAGGCTAATGACAAAAAGGTAGAAACGTACAACTCACGAGTTGACCAAATACCGGGGGCACCCCCGATCCTAAAGGGTTTGGATTCGAAGAAGTTCGTGCAGAAGCCTTTTCCTCAAAGTGCGGCTCCGAAGCCCATTCCTAAGAAGTTCCGTATGCCAAACATCCTCAAGTACAATGGGACCACCGATCCTAATGAACACATCACTTCGTACACATGCGAAATAAAGGGAAATGACTTAGAAGATGATGAGATTGAATCCGTTTTGCTGAAAAATTTGGAGAAACTTTATCGAAGGGGGCAATGATATGGTACCAAAATTTGCCGCCCAATTCCATCGATTCTTTTGCCATGCTCGCCGATTCGTTCATAAAGAGCACACGCCGGAGCAATAAAGGTCGTGACCAGGAAGTCGGACCTCTTCAAAGTGAGACAAAAGGACAATGAATTGCTAAGGGAATTTGTATCTCGATTTCAGATGGAACCCATGGACCTACCCCCGATTACCGATGATTGGGTTGTCCAAGCCTTTACTCAGGCTTTGAACGAGCGAAGTTCGATAGCATCACGTCAACTAAAGCAGAATTTGATTGAATATCCAGCACTGACCTGGGCCGATGTGCATAATCGATACCAATAAAAGATCAGATCGAGGATGATCAGTTGGGAGCTCAAACCGATTCCGTTTACCCAAACAAGTCCGAAGGCAGGATTCATAGAGACATCGATAGAGAACCCCGATCGAACGGAGATCGATACCAACCATATAGTGCAGATCGAAGAAACAACGGACTGGGACGTAATCCCGTTCGAAACGATCGAGGGAATGATCGAGGTCAAAATTCTCGAGGGCTCATGAGTAAGAATGGATTAGATAAACACGCCGAGCCTAAGGAAGCACCACGGTTATCAGAGTACAACTTAAGCGTCGATGCTTCATGTATTGTGTCAGCCATTGGACGAATCAAAGATACTAGGTGGCCCAAACCCCTACACATTGATCCAAATCAAAGGAATCCAAATCAAATGTGCAAGTACCATGGAACCCATGGTCATGGAACCAAATACTGTAGACAGTTAAGGGAGGAGGTAGCTCGCTTGTTCAACGAGGGTCACCTTTGAGAGTTCTTGAGTGACAGAGCAAAAAATCACTTCAGAGACAGGGATACAAACAGGAAAAATGAACAGGAGGAACCACAAAACGTGATTCATATGATCGTCGGTGGGGTCGATATCCCTCAGGGTCCGACATTTAAGATCACCAAAGTCACAATCACAAGGGAGAAGCGCACCTGGGACTATTTACCAGAAGATACCTTATCTTTCAATGATGAGGATGGAGAAGGGATCGAATAGCCTCACAACGATGCACTGGTAATATCTATCCTTATGAATAAAATTTAAGTTAAACGTGTGTTGGTTGATCCAGGTAGCTCGGCAAATATTATCCGATCGAGGGTCGTGGAGCAGCTCGGCCTTTAGGATCAAATCGTGCCTGCAGCTCGAGTGCTCAACGGTTTTAACATGGCGAGTGAAACCACCAAAGGGGAAATCATGTTTCGGTGAACGTGGCCGGAGCCATCCAGGAAACGAAGTTCCACGTGATCGAAGGTGATATGAGGTACAATGCGCTGCTCGGAAGACCTTGGATCCATAATATGAGGGTAGTACCTTCAACGCTTCATCAAGTCTTGAAATTCCCAATACCAGAAGGAGTCAAAACGGTGTACGACAAACAACCAGCATCCAAAGAGATGTTTGCAATCGATGAGGGTGATACCTGTATTGACTCTGACATCAACAAAGGGACCAGAATCAAGGGAAAAGTAGAAGGTCAAATAGCAATCACAGTCGCCGGCTTCGACCAGATCTCCCTCCTCTTCTTCATCTCGTTGCTTTTAGGCTATGTCGGCAGCCAGAACGGCAGTATCACTCTTCGACTTACGAGCCTTGCTCTTCTTAGGCTTGGGAATATTGCAAGGCGAGGCCCTTATCCTCTTCTTGTCCTTAGCCGTTTTCGGGGCCTCCTCTTCCCCAGGTAGAGGCGGTCTCATAGCAGCATTGTCTCTTAGACCTGTATGAGAGGAAATCAAGTAAAAATACGAAAGACACATTTCACAGAAAGGTATCAAACACGATAGGGAAGCTTACCATGATTTTTGGCCTCCCATCGGCCCTTGGCCAAATCACGCCAACATCGCTCAGAGTACGAAAAGGTCGAGGCCAGCTTCCGACCCAGCCTTTAAGGTTCGGGATTGCATCGTGCACCTAAGAAACTGCTGTATCATAGGAAAGGATGTCAATACGAAACGACAAAAGAAAAAAATGATAGACGGAAGATATAGGTGAGTTCGTGCTTACGCTTCATGTTCCACTCTTCAGGGAACGGCATCTCTCGGCCGAAATTATGTCTGAAGTCCTCACTTGGACAAACCGGCCCATCCATCCTCGGTCCTTATCCTCATCTATGCTCGAGAACAGCACCTTGGTGGCCCAGCGCTGAAGCCTTATCAATCCACCTCGATAGAGGCAGGGGCTATAAATTCTAATAAGGTGGTCGAGGGTAAAAGGCATCCCCTCGACTTGGCTCACGAAGAATCGGAGCAAAATAAGAATGCGCCAGAAGGAAGGATGGATCTGGCCCAGGGTTATTTGGTATTGGCGACAGAAATCAAGGATAACAGGGTCAACGGGACCCAGCGTAAAAGGGTAAGTGTAAACACTCAAGAACCCTTTCACGTGAGTGGTGATGTCCTCTTCAGGGGTCGGGGTCACCACCTCCTTGCCTTCCTAATGGCAATCCTTTTTCACTTGCTTCAGGTCGCCCTCAGTTATCGAGCATATGTATCTCGACATCGGCTCACATCGGCCAGGGACCGACGAGGGTTTCTCGATCTTGAAATTGGAAGTGAGATCGAACGACCCGGGAACACACTCTTCGATGCGTGGCTCCACCCGCGTTTTATCACCGGCCGGCCGTGATGAAGAGGCTTTTTCCTTTTGGGGAACGGTTTTGGATGTTTTCGCCATTTCTATGTGAGTTCAGAAAAAAAAAAGATGAAGTTTGTTGTTTAATAAGAGGATATGCAAACGGGATGTAAATAATTTGCAGAATTGAGGAACTTGAAGGAAGTAGGAGAGCTTTGAAGATTAAGAAAGGTTTTGAAAGTAAAGTTTGAGATTTATGAAGAGGATCTATTTATAATATTTTCCATGACGCTTCAAGGGCACTAGTGGCCGACCATCAACTGGCATTAATTAATGATCTTGAGAACTGTGCAGACGCGACGCTTCAGTCGCCTCCGTCGCTTACGTCACGAGGGTGACATCATAATTGGTCGAGGTGCAAAATCGAAGGCTCAGTTCGTTTCTTTTCATTACACTCTAAGAAACGAGGGGACTATCTGTATACGGTCAAAATCAAGCCTACCCGATTTTGCTATTTGATAGAGACAAGGGAGTTGCATGGGGGGTAGTCTCGTGATGTATCAGACCCGAGCTCGAAGACGAGGCATCGAGCCTAAAGATCGAAGTGTCCGTTGAGACCGAGGCCAGCAGCAATCGAGGCTAAGTATGACCAACTTCGAGTTTAGTGCAATAATGGAAAGGCGAGATATCCGTAACCGATCGAAGTTCACGGCGGAAATCTCGAAACAAATCAAATCAAGGGCAGTTATTTGTACCAATCATGGGATTTATTTCCGTAATTAGAATTGTACCATAGTTAGTCCATTGACGAATACCAAAGCAATATAATATTTCTTTCTTCTGCTCATCAACTTACTGCTCTTTAACTTTTCTTACTCTATCAAGCTCGAGGGTTCACTAGCTCGAGGGCATTGACCGAGCATTGGTTTGTTTTATATTATTGTCAATTTGCATCATCTATCTTTACGTTATCAATTGGTATTAGGTGAAATCACATATCCTTAAAACCACATTACAAGTTTAATTGTTACTCAATTTTTAGGGTAAACATATCTCAACGTAGGACATGGGCAAACCATGTCAGATGATCTTCCCTTATTCTGTTGCTATGACTTTTGTATACTTATCGTTCTCAACTTCACTTCGAGCAGGCACTCGTACCAGAAATCTGGTTTAAGTCTTATTGTGTTATCCTGATCCCCAGTATATAGTGAGTGAGTTTTTTTACTCTTGTGGAATCTCTTCAGCCACTCACATCCAATTCCCATGTTTTTCAATAGTGATCCAGTAGAAACAGATTGCTTACATTGATTCTTTATTTTTTACTTGGGCCTGCATGTGCTCCCAGCACGACAGCTCCATACTAGTAAATGAAAAGAAGCTGCAAATATAACGATTTAAGTGAATTTACTTCCTCCTCTTTCTTTGGTCATTGAATGCATTCAGATTATGACAGTATATAGTATCCTTTTTCATCTCTATACCAATTTATGTTTGTCTACTGATATAGTATATGCATCTGCAGCTTCTTTTATTTGTTCAATTCGATTGCTCCACTGTTATGATAAAGTGAGATAGCTGCTAAAACTTTAAGATTACGAGTGGTATAGATTCATGATTAACAGTTCCCAAACAGATGGCCATGTTTTTCAGACAAATGTGTATGAAACCATGCATTAATTTCTATTTAGCACACTTTTGACAAAAGCAACCTAAAGTACCCCTCGAACAACAATAACTGTCTATGAGGATGGCACAAGCAATGTGATCCTCAAGGACGAATATTGAATAAACTAGAAGAATGTAAAACAAATGAACAAGAGAAAGATACATAAAAACATATCCATAAAGGGACAATTATTGACTTTGTTTTGGCAATGGAAGTTGTGCTACCTCTTTTAAGATCAGTTCATCTTCCTGCAATTTTTCCTGATCTCTCCCCTGGAACCTGTCAAAGGTGAAATGTTCCCCATCTTAACCATAGACTTGGCGAAGTGCTCGAAGAAAAGCGCATTGTTCTCTGCATATTGTTTCACCAAGGCTAATGATGCTTGACTCTTAGTTGTAAGAACTTGGTCCGAGTTCAAAAGGCCCTTTGAAGCCAACAAGTTCTTGAAGTAGCTGTTGTCAAATTTTGTGGGGGAGACAAAGTCCAAGAAAAATAGGTTCTGATCACCTCCAGATCTTGGGCACCTGTTGCGCAATTGGGCAGCATATGATTGATCCAGAGTTGAGTCTGGTTGACTATTTCCTGACTGGTTGTAGAGCCTTTGCCTAAAGCTGGTACATCTTGAATTTCCAATTGTGTGGCTCCCTGCATAACAGTTTATTTGTTTTTAACTACGGTTTCACGTGTGATTAGTTGACAACTAGTAACAATAAAGGGAGTAAGTTTTACCGGATAAAGCAACAAGGTCAACAAGATCAAGGCCTTGTCTTTTGAATTTTGTGAGAATAGTATTAAATGTGTTGTTTGGAGCAGGAATGTCATTGTTGGAGCCACTTAAACTGGCACCTCTGGAGTCTCTTCTTCCCAATGGAACCTCCCAGTTTGGTCCACCAGCCTGTATAAAGAAAATAAAGTTAGCTCTGTTTTACTCTTTTTAATTAGGTCTCCTAGTAAAGTAGTATGATCAATTTTAAGTGGCTCTACTTACTAATACAGTAGAATCCCTTGCAGCAAGTGCCAATATATCAGCACAAGAGACAGTTTGAGGACATTCCTTCTCCAGTGCAGATTTAATCTCATCAATGACTTCGAATCCACGAGCTGAGTTCCTGTTGGGGTTTGATCTTTTCTCAGTTACTATACCTCTGCTGCTGTCCAGAAGCAAAGATGCATCACATCCCTACATGCCATAGTGAAACAAATAGTCAGCTATCAACTTTTTATAGTAATACTTTCAATATAAACAAGCTAGGCAATCCAATCCTCTGTATACATTCATAGCAGCAGTACTTTTTAACAGGTGCATTCTTGTGTGTTCGCGGGCTGCGCGTGTTCAACTTCATATCAAATATTATCCAAATTGTAAACTTTGCCATGTAGAACAGTTCGTTATGTACATGTAGATTTTGACTAATAGAGTATAATCAAACCAAAAGTAATTGGAGGCACGTTAACTTGTATTGTACGATAAGCTTAGCTTAGTTACACCCCGTGAGATAAATATTTAGTACTAACAAAGATATGTTTTACCTTGACAAAGCAGTCATGGAAATGGAGCCTGAGCAACGAAGCAGCCATTCGAGCCTCTTTGGCTACAGCCTTGGCAACAACAGACTTGACAATTTCTTGAGCTTTTGGGCATGATCGGTAATAATATTGTGGGTATAGTGAACCACCATTTGTCTTAGTAGAGAAACATTGTGGTGCAAAAGCAAGGAGACCTATGAGAAAAAAGAAGCTCATAGACTGAGCCATCTTGAAGTTAAGTTCTAAAGATTTGGTATTGAAGAAGTTTGAATATCAAAGAAGGCTAGTTTGCTGTGATGAAATTGAAATGGAGTTTCACTAGTATATATAGTGTGTCCAATGAAAGAAGAGGTGCAAAGGGCACACAAATAATATATGGAGTTGGTAGCTTTTTAGTTAGGATTAGTATGTTTCTGCTTGATTGACCAAGTGAAGCAAATTAAACTTGTGTTCTACAAGTAAATGATTGTAAAATTAAAGAACCTTCAACAACTACGTAAATGTTAATTTCCAGAATTCACTCAATTGTAATGCATGACAAAAAGTTGATTATGACTCTTAATTGTTGACTTAGCTACATTTTCGAGATTTTGTAAAGTTGATGCGGTCCAACTTTAAGGGAATAAAACAATTAATCAGCTTCTTAAACAAATGTAAAATCGATTTGATAGTAGTATGGATGAATGGCTTCGTCCTCTCCTACCCAAAATCCAGATTTATTAATTCTAGAAAATCTTTAATGAAAGTTATAAATTATAAAACTAAGCATGAGAGAAAGACTTGATCTGGTCAACCCCACACATACATTGATTTCTTTTGGTATAAGGGGTGCAGGGATGACAAACATTCATGAAACATAAAGTAACAAAAGAGTTGATAAAAGTGGGGACAGAAGTCACCTGCTTCGTTGACAAAAGAAGACCTCCACTATATTAATTTTATTTGACCAAATTTCCTCCATCTCCTATTATACAAGCCTTTCTTCCTCGTCTGGTTTTTCTTTTTTTGTTTTATATATCAACGTATGATCTCATGAAGCTTAACCTTTTGTTTTTCCTCCTCTCAGTTTCATCAATAACTGGAAGTAAACAACTACTACTATAATTTAAAGTAACCTAACGCTTACAATTCACTTATTTATTTTGAATACTATTTACTACTAAATGAAATATTCAACTTTTCTCCGCTAAATTTTATTGCATTCAAGTAAACTGTATTAGTCGTAGAAGTATAGAAGTTGGGAATTTATCTTCATCAAGGTGGTCAAACAAAAAAAAATTGATTATGCTTTTCTTGTATACTTTGAGCTACGCAATTGACAATTTCTTTCTCAAAAGAATAGAAATGTCAATCCCCGTTTGGTAAAATACTAGTACTTGTGTAACTTGGCTTATGTCTGCTCTCATGCGTTACAAAAGTGAGGAAGGTGACCTACGAATGGATAAGTGAATATTAGGTGAATCTGATTGGTCCAATCTATATATTATAAAAAATAACAGGTAAGAAAATGTTAGGAGAACTGCTCCTCTACTTTTTCAAACATGAACAGAATAATCTTTATGCGACATTTATGCCAAAATAATTCTTTATTAGAATGAGGGCAATGTGGTTGAAGCAGATTGGCGAACTAAATTTTCTCATTAGTAATGAACTGTACTATATCCTCTCTGAAATAGGTGCAAGGAAGTACCTTCCTCAGCAACTTAAGCAAACGTGAATCCTAAGTTTTGAAAAAAGCCCAAATTTGCTCTTACAGTCTTCGCTCTTTGCATGCATCACGAGGAATGAGTTCTACCACCCCCACCCCCACCCAAAAAAAAAATCATATAATGTTAAACATTGAGGTTGAACAGTTGTTTTTCAGCCTGTTTAAGGGTTGTCTTTGATTTCACTCGAGACAATAAAATTGACCCATTTTTACGAAATTTTGCTGATTTGATAAATATAGGAGACTTGTCGGAACCAAACATTGTAGAAGCTGCAAAGACGCAGCAACCACACTAAGCGCTATTATCTTTTGATACTGACGGCATGGTTTTTGCTATGGATGGCAACGGGGCGAGGCGGGGTGGGCGAATTTGGCAAAACACATAAAAATTTCAACCCGCCCCGCCACACTTAATTTTTTTTTCTTTTTTCTTGGATAAGCTGTTGTATGTTCATCTCTTTGCTTGCCCCAGAAAAGCTCCAATTCAGGGATGTTTTAACAAACAGAAGATGGAGACTTCACAATATAAAAGAGACTAGTTTTTCTGGCAATCATCAACATTTATTCTTTGCAACAAAAACTGGGAAAAGGAAAGGCTATCTAACAAGTTGCCCTTTTCCCTTTTCTTCAAAAACTAAAAACAGTCAGTTTAAATCATCACTTTTCCAGTTAATCTTTGAATAAAAGAACCATTCAAAAGCTCAGGACTTTCAGAGGTTCACAAAGAAATAAAATCAAAAATAATCCCATCAAACAAAGAACAAAAAGGTAACTTTAGTTAAGAGCAGCATGTATATATATAAACTCAGAGACTGTGAAATTGGGTGAAAATTAATTATAAATCAAAATAGTATTCGTGCTAGGGAAGAAGAATGTGAAATTGTAGTTGAAATGATTGCTTTATTTCAAAAAAGCTAAAATTCAAAGTTGCCCCGCATTAAACCCGCAACCCGCCCCGCTTTAAAAAATTTAAAAATTATTTTAACCCGCCCCGCACCCGCATAAGAGTAAACCCACTCCGACCCGCATCAAACGAAACCCGCACCGCCCCATTACCATCCCTAGTTTTTGCTACAGGAATCTTAATTCTCGTATAGGTTATTGGATTTGAAAATTACCGTCTACCATAGTACCATATCAATTCAATAAGAATGGAAAAAGCCAGTGTTCCATAAATCTATATACCATGAACAAGATAACCAATAAACATTCGAATTCAAAGCATTTTCGCCTCATTCTGAGTAAGCAAGTGGCTGCTTGACAGCCAGTAATTAACGGGAGGTGGCCTAGGGAACTAATAGGAGTAAGAAATTGGTAATCTGGTCTATTTCAGAGCTTCATTCTAGTCATGCAAACAGTAGCTCTCAAAACATTTCTTAGTTCGTCAGTCAGCAAGAATGCGAGAGGATGAGGCAATGTTTTATATGCAGAAGCAGAGCACCAAATATCAGTTACTTCTAAAGAGTGACCCGTCTTGTGCACATTTCTAACTTGAAACACTGGCCTGGGATGTGGGCAAGGCTCTTCCATCTAGAAACAAACATAACTTAGATTGACCCGTACCTAACTTCACTAGTTCTCCGCGTTGCTTGAGCAGAAGCAGGTTGACGCTCCCATGAAGCTTGATTTACAAAAGGATTGTTGATATCTTCTGGTCGCGAGTAGCCATGGCCTCCCCCGCTTACCTGTGTTTCAGTTCCAAAACTGCAGGTTAGATGAGCTAAGAAGGTAAATTCAGCACAGTAAACCAGTTCGGTTCGCATGATTTTCACAGCATGCTCAAAATACTGTTTTCCCCTAGTATACCCCGCTACAACATCCATACGCCCTTACCCTGGCCTGAACAACCATACCCCTAGCACTACTTACACCTTCATCTGTCACTCTCCCCCTTGCAGCGTAACCTCTTCACATGCTTCACTTTTTTGGCCTCCTAAAATAAATGTATTGATAGCTGACCCAAAGCCTTCCACAACATCCCAAGAAGTTAAGTTGCGAAAATAGGTGGACTTACAGTTTCCAAACATGCGGATAAAAGAGTCATTCCAGGCAATGCATCAAGTCCGCGCTGTGAAAATGTAATGTAATGAATTACTAAGTGTTGCAAGAGAATCATACAATTGAAAACAGAGCTGGACTAAAAGAGAGAGAATAGAAGACAGCAAAAAGCATAACTAGTAAACCTACCTGATTTTGCACACGTGTCTTGTAAATGAACCCTCCACAGCAGAACAGCGTTGAGGCAACGAATAGTCTGTACCACACAACATGTCATATTCATATGGTACACAAGATGACCAAGAGAAGCATCTTAATATATGAAACAGTATTCAAAATATAAATCTCAACTACAGACTCGACAACTTCCTAACTGAGACTACCAACTATGCAGCAGCAAAACATATGAAGTATAACCGCATATGATCTGGAGGAATTCACTCAGACATCTCAACATGAAAATAAAAGTTGAAAAGGAACATGACATACATGCATGAGAGTACACCAAATATGGCCCATCCTCTTGCAGCATCTCCGCCTTCGCTTTGCTGGTATTCTGCAGAAAATTTTATTCTATTATCATGATATAAATGGAACAGCCACCCAGAATACTAGAGCACCAGCTAGAAAGGACAAATAATATTGCTACGACTACATAATTGGTATTACGCAAAAACATCCCCAATCCAGATCTTCCCTCAACCCAAATACACTACTATTGTCTCCCCACCCACCCACCCCCACCCCCTTTTCTCACCCTAATATCTTTACTAATGATAATCTTATGGTGGGAATGGTGGACAAGTACAGGGGAGGCTGGAGATGGTTAGCCTAAGAGGCTGAACCACATTCTTTTCTTTTTCCTTTTGTTTTGGTAGTTATTATTTTAGTAGATGAGACTGCTTTCCATCTTTCTTTTCCTTCGCATTCTGCAATTGTTCGCATTTTACTCCTACATTTGACATGGGATACTTGCATGTACTCTTATATTGATTTGGCTAGTGGTGGAGTTAGATTACCAATGGTTTACTTAAGAGTATTGGAAAGCGGATGAATTGAATCAATTTTAACGACCAGATCAAACTGAAGGCTAAAACTTGACTGAAGTCAGAACTTCACAAACATTTTGGTAAAAAAGCACATAAGAGGAAGAAACCGGATTTCAAGTTTACTCAAAAGTTAGTTAACTGTTATTGTAGACGCACATTGTCAAAGACTCAAACATGCACTGCTCAATGAGTAAAATGAATGCTCATTATTGAGAAGCACATACAGATGGGATACATACAAGTGTATTCGAATAAAGGCCAGATTTCACTTACCACACATCTTTGTGAGGGTGAACTGAATGGGGTCGTAGTTTTCTACAGGGATGGTGACCTCAACTTCATATGGGGAATCACGAGCAACTTCACCTGAAAATACAATCAGCAATTTAGAGGAACAAAAGGTAGAGCCAAAAGATTATATGATAGCAAAACAAGAAAATCTCCCCAAATAGTCTAGTAAGAGGAACAGTCAAGTCATTATACATCTCCAGTCGATCAGTAATACTGTTGGAGACAAAGTTGTTGGTGATCCACCAGTTGCCGCTGAACCAGATAATGTGACCTTTAACCCTTTCTCTGGAGCAACCTGGCATGTATATGGAGAGGGGCGGGGAAAGAGGGAAAAAACAGTGATTTCCAAGTGAAAATATTCAAGCACAAAAAGAATAAATGCATAACAAAAAGCTTAAACACCTTTATTAATGGTTTCTGCACAGAACCCGAAACCGAAGCAACAGCAGTCATATAAAGGGCTACACGAGTTTGTGCAGTGCTGAAGCTACAAAATAAAATGAAGAATCAATTGAACTTATTTTAAGCAATTCAGACAGTGATATGATAACGACTGCTGTAGCTATGCAGCTTATGATAAAAAAGGGAAGTCTTAATCCCATAAGAACTGATCGACTATAAAAGCACATAAGGTGAGCAAAATGTGCATTGGAACCTAACAAACTTAGAAGTCAGAAGACGTTCGCAAGCACACAAAAAACTGGCAGTGGTAAACTGTTGGCAAAGTTGACCAGCACAAAAACTATGATTACAACTAGTCCTCTCTACTGTATGTGCTTGGTTACCTGAACAAAAGCACATTCATATGTAAATGCAAAGCATCTCTATGCAATCATGAAGAAGGAAACTGTATTTTACTGAAAAGAGTTGCCGAACTTCATATTAAAGGAAAAGCAGATTTGGAAGGTGACTAATATGGTCACCCAGAACCAGATATATCTGTTCCAATTTTTTCCCTTTTTTCAGATGACTACGTCAGCATGTGTACGCCTTAAGTTTAAGCCCGCATTTCTATCCAATTCAACGTCTTATGATTGGCAGGATCTATCCTGTTACAAAATAGAATTCAACTATAAAACACAATTACATTCCTAGATAAAAGGCAAAAGTAACCATATAGAAAACCACATAACCCATACATATTCTATGTCACGGCATAAGAATATTGTTGTTCATCAATCAAGACTCGGTTTGAAATTTCTCCTCATAATTCCAAATGTGGTATTCATTAGAACTTTGCTAGAATCAATATGATGAGCCATAATACCTCCACAGTTTGGAAAACTGCTAGATACCTAGGTGGAGGCAGCCGTCAGACTAGAAAAATGAAGATACAGAGATTTGTTCGAACAGATAAGCAGCAGAAGATCAAAATAAGCATAAAAGAATTTTTTTTTGAAAAACACAAGAACAATCCACGGTCTTCTTTTAATTATCTTAGCTAGAATGCACACGGTCTTCTTTTGATTATAATTGTAAAATTACAGCTGTTTAAAGCAAAGTGGACCCAGACCCAAAGATAGGCTAACTTTATAAATATGAAGTAGTATAAGAATAAAAATGGGGTCCAATGTGATGTATTCAGCAGTACAGTATTCAACAAATAACGAGTAATGTAAGAAGGCTTCTACTTAGAGAAGGTAGATAGATTTTCCGACAGTCCAAAGAGGAAAGTAAGACAACCATGTCCGAGATAATACTTGTAAGTAATGAGATAACCCCATTTACCTGAATTCCTTGTGAGCTTCTTCATAGCCCAATTGAGTCATCCCATTGTAAACCTGTAAATTCACAAACAAGGGCCTCCACACCATAAGACTGTAAGACAATTTAAAGGTACTGGGTAAAAGAAAAAACGTTCCCCTTACAATTTCCCATGACCTTGGATGAAAACCAACTGTGAAACCTTCGAAGACTCGCAGACCTGGTTTCTCACATGGAATGGCAAGTTCAACAACAGCTCTGTCCAAAAGTGATATTAGACATACAGCTAGACAAGTTCGAAGTTGAAGTGTACAAAATCATGCAGTTTAAAATCCCCTACATTTAGTGAAGTCATCACAAAATCCACATTATTTATGTAACTTTTTCCGGATAATCAAAACTTTTCAGTCACTCTCTCTGGTCAACTTTGCCCTCATATCTTGTCACCAATACATGGTTTAGAGATATTATAGAAATGATTCATACTTCATAATATCAGTTTTATGAAGCATTACAATTCCACAGTTTCTTTGCACTGTACAGGTTGAGAAATGTCCCTTATTTCTAAGTCCAAAAAGAGGTATGTCATGGCAATGAGTAAATGGGTAGGTTGAACAGCAGCTATTTAAAGCAGTGCAAGAGATTTTCTCTTAGCTTGATTAAACAAAATTGCACGAAAGCTCAAGATGTTATTGAAGCAAAGTCCAAATTTTTAACCCAAAGGAACAAAAATAAGTAATCCCTTAGTCAAAATCATATCCTAGTTATAGGTCAATTTGATTAAGTTCAATATCAGATCAGATATGGATTACGTACTGTATTACAGCAGCATACCCCATAAGAGTTGTGAACCAACCTCATGCTCACCCCACGTCCAGTTGTCAGAGAAAGCAAGCATCTAATGAAGTAATTCAACTAAAGGAGACATGAGAATAGTGTTAGTCTTAAGTCTTTCCTTTTTCAAGGGTATGGAAAGGGAATGCACCCACAACTCCAAATATATACTCCCTCTGTTTGAATTTATATGCACTCTCTCTACAACTTCAAGAGGTAAAAAAATTTAAAATATTGAAATTATAAATTTTAATGGGATGATTTCTCTGTCAAACAAACTTTTCAACCATTACATAATATTTTCTTCCAACATAACTAATATAATATATATAAGTCACATTTATATCTTAAATTGCAATACTATACAGTTATATAAAATGGAATGAGGAGAGTATGGACTTTTCCAATCTTTTAGACCTCACTCCAGCATGCAGCTTCTCTCTCTCTCTCTCTCTCTCTCTCTCTCTCTCTCTCTCTCTCTCTCTCTCTCTCTCTCTCTCTCTCTCTCTCTCTTTCTTTTTCTTTATTGTTGTTTGGTGGTAGGGCGGGGGGGGGGAGAGAAGGGGACAGGGGAGGGTGTGAAAACACATTGAATATCAGCTGAATGATGGGAAAAATACCTACAAGTAGAATCATATTCAACACTGCAGATGCATCCAAGTCCACCTGAGGTATTGAATTTAACAAAAAAATTAACAAGACAAAGACACATTCCATAAGACTATAACTGATTCTCAAAATTCCAAATCCCACATTTTTGTTAAGCAAAGAGGTAATAATGGATTCCTCAGTGAAATCAGAAAAAGATTAAGGAACCTAACGTCTTCTACTACTTCACTCTTTTCTGCGAAAAATCACTATCTATACCACCAGCAGAAGTCATTCCATTAAAAAATTAGCTTTCAATTTTAACAGTGAGGTACACATGACACAGAAACAAGGGAGAAAGAGAATACATGACTAACAAATTTAGTCCAATAATACACTTCAGAATTAACGATGAAAATCAGACGTGACCAGTCAGCAACTCGCATACCGTTAAGCAACACAAAGACCTACTGCCTTTATCACATCCCCGGAATCGAAAACCAAACTTTGCGGTATGCTGGTCTTCGCCTAATTCAGGATCATAAGACAAACTAAACCACATTTTCTACACACGGGACAAAAGCACCAAGGATAAGACATTTGTCTTTTCATCAATTCATCGTGCCCACCTCAATGAGCCATGTACATATCTCAGTTACACGGTTGATTAGCTTTGTCCTTATATAACCTGATACGCATCAAGAGATACACGAATAATTGAGATAACTTCTGGTAGATTTTCTAATTAGCACTTGTTGCATATAGGTCAACCTCATGACTCAATTCCAGGAACCACAATACACTGTCAATCAGATACTTCATCAAAATACACTGTCAATCAGAGGGACATGAGCTTCTACCCCAACATGAAGAGCCATGGCAAAACCTAATACGGGTATTTAGGATTTTCACACTGGTCAACAGCTATAATGATTTCACTAGTAACTGATGTAGAATTCACTGGATAAGTCACGCAAATATGAGCCACCAAAAATGACATGTTCAAAGTTATTTAACACTTGCAATACTTTGTACAACCTTTTTGGCTGGCAATTTTGGTGCATCAATATGCGATATCAAAATTATGCTTCTCCTAGCTGACCCCCAGGCTTCATGTTTATGATGCCATTGTAGATCTAAATTTTCGGAATCAATTGACAGTTTCAGAGGTATTTCAGAGATTAATCAAAAACACTAACTCAGACATTTTGTAGTTTATTGAGGCTATTTCATGCATCTTGCATTAAAAAACTATCTTACTAGTCAAATGAAGGGTTTGCATACCTTTGCATTGTCCCTGAGGACAGTTTCCACATATGATATTTACCTATTAATCCAGAAATAAGAGAGTCAATCTAATTGTGTTGGAGTTCAGTACATGGAAACCAAATATTGGAAAGTGATATTCCTATAGGGCCCACTACTCACTTTTATCTTTTGGGAAGATTACAATATGATTTCTTGAAAATACAACACATAAAAAGGTTACATAGCTGGAGAGAGAGAGAGAGAGAGAGAGATCATTCAAACCTGAGCTGTTCGGCCCATCTTATCATAACTCTGCTCACAGTTCATCAGATCACCGTTGAAATATTCCTGGGGACAATAGAAACAATGTAAATTAAGATTAGACTTGCAGGTAATCAGCAATATAAAGCAGGCACTTTGTTAATTCAAGTGACAGAGCAACATGAAGCAAGGGAGCAATGCATCTGAGGAGCAGGTTGTGCGACTTCAAGCACATACTTCACAAATTAAAGCTCAAAGTGATCCAAGTGAGAAGCATTTGCTTTTACCAATTACTAGTATGCGTAGACATGTCTGCTAACTCTACTAATACACCTCGCATTAAATTTTTTCCTAAAGTGAATCGCTCTTTTCTCAGCTAACTTATTAACTGTCATTTCCACTTTATGTAGTAAACAGCTGCAGCTAACCAGAAACAGCTGTCTAGAGGAATCAATAAAGTCTTGTTGCTTCAAAAGGATTTATATGCCACAGAGCAGAAGTAGAAGAGCACAAGAGAATATGTTTCACTTCCCTATTGCACCAATAGGCATCACAGTCTTAAGCAAACATGCAGGAGTCTTTAATTTTTTCCAGCGTAAGATTATACTTCACCAACAGTTGAAAAGCTTACCTGAATGAAGCTGACATGTCCAGACCCAGTATGAAAAAAGTTGAGTTTATCAAATCTGCCGAAGTCCACATATCCCTGCAATTCAGGTTCACTCTTTATTACATAAGGCATCAATGTTACAAGAGTACATAATGGACTAGTTAATCAAGTAGACATTTTCTTGGTACAACAGCTCGGTATTCTTAACAATCTACAAGTTACAGTGAAATATGAAAGATGCATGGAGTGGAGTAAGAATCATTTTCCCCACTTTCACTAGGCACTCACAAGCAAATCCAGCTTTCATTTATTCATCAATTCTTGATAGGCAGTTAATTTCTACTCCTGTGTACTTCAGAGGTGCCAGCCCCTAAAATAAATTACTCATCACAACCACAGAGAAAACTAACCAAAAGAAAGACAACAACAGGTTGTATTGTTTATGGTATAATTATACAAGGATTTAATACAAAGATTTTAGCAACGGACAATAATATAGGGATTGTTATGCAGTGAACAATAATAAAGTTACTCTCTTTATTTTGCTTTAAAGTAACTATGAAGTGCCACTATCAGCGTCAACTAGTATGCTCAACAGCTATTAATCTAATTAGGTATGAAACCCTGAAGGATGTTTTTGTATGCATCACATCAGGTTAGGGATGCAAAGATGAGAAGTAGGGAAGGAGCTAGCTGAAGATTACTAGAAAGACAAAGTTTGTAACAGTTGGAGAGAACATTTTCCGGAAAAGAAGTAACAGAAAGGAAAGAGGATATAAGCATCTAGTAATATACCGAGTGAGAAAATAAATGAGAACATCGTAAAATGCATTACCGCGTGTGATCTAGACTCGACATCTTTGCAAAATCGAACCACCAAGTCAGCTTCCTACATTAAAAGACACCAATGAGCATTGCATTTTGCATATAATCGAAACCATTTGTGGACATAGCATCAAACTAGACATCACCTTCCCCTCATACTCAAATGGATGTCCAATCCAGCTACTCTGAGACATAGGTTAAGAAACACAACTTTATTCAAAACGCACCTCTAACAATACAACCAGGTTTAATCATTTCAGATCTCGAAGGATAAAAAATAACATATAAGAAATTTGCAAGTATTGTGGCACCATTATTGTGATTTAATACAAGGAGATGCATTTTATCAGAATAAGAAATATAAGAAGATTGCAAAGTTCAGCAGCATGACATTATAAGGTTAAATTTCTGTATTTTAAGCCACTGAAAATGGAACAATTTCAGCATTTCTGTGCCCATCTCACTAAATCGACTAGAAAAAATTTCAAAGGATACAAAATCGTGAATGTGGCTGGAGTTATCCAGTGCATAGCAACCAGTATTTGGTGCAACAACTGAAACAACCCCAATTGCTTGTAACAATACAGCTGAAGAAAATATGAATTTGCAGATTAGATCAGAATTTTCCAAATTCGTCAGTATAAGGACATCAAGTAGTTCCAGAGAATTCTTCCTCGTAGAATATATACACATCACCTGCTACTACTGTGATTAGCAAATGATACGCTACATTTTCAGTAGAGTAGTTTTTTGGGCTCCGCATTTCCTCGAGTACACCGCGGTCCTGCCAATACATTCAAGTAAGCAAATGAGATTTTATTTTATCACTACTCTATATTGACTAATTGGTTATTGCTGCAATTGCTCGCAATTTTGCCATGTCAATAGTTCGGAGTTCGGACCTTACCAAGGGTGGGTCTACTCTAGCCCTTGCCTTAGACCCCCAATAATTAAGGCCTCAAAATAAGAAGCAACATTATATTATTATATAATATACGGAAAAGGGCTAAAAATGTCCCTGTAACATCACAAATAGTTTAGTATGGAGCTCCGTCCACCGATTTGTCCGAAAATACATTCAACGTTATCTTGGGGCCTGAAATTACCCCGCGACTAACCGAGCCATCTGTGATCCCCTCATTTAATGCGTTGTCGTGATTTTATTGTTCCACGTAGCTATATGGCCCCAATCATTTACAACTCGCCCCAAATATTCACTCGCCCCATTTATCGGACCAACCCGTGGTAAAACAAATATATTTCACCTACCCATTCATTTTAACCTCATTTCTTTTAGTACCCCATCTTCTTCACCAAATTTGGGCTCTCAGTAATGGTGTTTTAGGGTTTAATTAAGATTGCTATCTGCTTCGATTTGGTGAGCTAAAACTGAAGAATTTTTCATTTCTAGCTTATCAGACTGACTACTCGTTGATAAAAGTAAGTATTTTCTGATTTGGGTTAACTTTTAGGGTTTGGGAATATTTGGGGTTCGGTAAATGTTGTCTCTTTCTTTTTGTTTAATAGGTCATATGATCTTATTATAGTATCCTTTATGCATTTGTTTTTTATTTTTGTTGGGGGTGGTCCCAATCGTCTTTGTCCGACATGAAAAAGTTAGGGTTTTTTTTATTTTTGTATGTGTTGTTGGGTGGGTGTTAGTCGACATAACTGTGGTCCTTTTCCGTTTTCTTTATTGCTTGATATCTTTTTGATTTTATTCATAACTGGTGTGGGCCACTTTTTTGTTGCATCTGGATATGTCAGAAGAATGGTCGATAAAGTATATTTGTATTTTAATCATGGTGGTGATCGGAAACTGGAACCCACTTTATATTATTGTAAAAAAGATGTGCACCTGCTGAGAGAGTATGAAGTAGACTATTTGTCCTACATTGATTTGTGTAATGAATACACTGATGTACCGGGGTATATTGAGGTACACCAGCTAATTTTTACTGCTCCATGTAGTAGATATTATTTGTTGGATGGAGATGAAGGAATTAGGAAGCTTCAGTCACTCATTAATAAAAAATTTAGGGTTATTAATTTATTTGCTATTGACCTCCTTCAACTTACTGATACCAATTGTGAAAATATAATAATTGGGACTGATTGTGACAGTGAGGAAGAGGGTACGGTAATGAACATGTTCAAAGTGATTATGATAGTGATGTTGTGTTGGGGGTATTTAAGAAGCAAAGAAACTTGAGGTAACAGACCAACTTGATAGATACAAAATCTTGGTAAAGGGTATGACAAAGAATCTTGCTGAAGCAAAAGAAGTTATTGGTTTTTATTCTGTTGCAAATAAGAATGCTTTAGAGGTAATTAAGAGTGACAGAAAAAGACTTCGATATAAGTGTGTTGTTGGTTATCCCTTTAAATGTCTTATTTCTAAGGATGGAGATAACCTAGGGTGCAAGATAAAGACTTTACATGCTAACCATGAATGTGGGGAAGTATTTGAGAATAGAAGAGCTACTCCTGCTACCTTAGCTCATTGTTTTAAGAGAAAAGTTTAAAATAATCCCAAGTACAAGGTGAAAGAAATCAAGAGTGATCTGGAGGAGAGATTTAAGCTAAACGTGAGTCAGTCAAAGTTAAAGAGAGTGAAAAGGATAGTGTTAGAGAAACTAGAAGGTAGCTACTTAGATGAATACAACAAGTTGGAGGCATATGCCCAAGAATTGAGGGAGAGCAATCCTGGTTCTGATGTGGTTATCCGGATATCCAAGAATACTTTGAAAGAAGGTAAAAGAAGATTTTTGAGGATGTACGTGTGCTTTCAGGCCCTCAAGAATGGCTTTAAAGCAGGTTTGAGGCCTTTTATAGGACTTTGTTTACCTTGAAAATGGTAATTACAATTAGATTTGATTTTGTGATTCTAAAAATATGTAATTTATTTTTATGCTAATTGTTAGAAAATAGATGCTAAGCATGAGACTAGAAAATAAGGTAAGAGCTTGAAGATAGTATGTTGTGCGAACCGAGTGGCCAAGAATCGGGGTCTCGAGCTATCCGTATGCTGGGCCTCGAGGTCAAGCTAATGAGCTCGACTGGAGATGGCTGATGAAGGACTAACAGTTCTAAGAGCTTTGGTGAGGGCTCTTTATGATCAATGATGAGTAATAAATGAAGAACAATTAATGAAACGCGATAAATGTAAGCGATGTAATAAATATAAGCAATAAAATCAAGGGAGAATATGTTTAAGTTAGAGAGCAGATAATGTTCTTGTTCTTGTATTGAATATCATGTGTCTTACAAAATGACAAGGGTCCCCTTTATATATGAGGGGGAATCCCAACATAGTACAAATGCATTTATTACAAAGATATGCGGCTGGTACAACCATTTAATGCCACGGCACGGGCTTGTACTAGCCCAATAGACTTGGTCAGCTTTAATCACGCGCCTTGGAAATCCTCCGCTTATCCATGATAGCCGCCGATCTGCACTGCCCTGAGGTTGAGCATAGGCAACCCTCGGGGTTGAACCTCGAGCTGTGCCTTGGGACTTCTGAAGACGGGCTATGGAATGCCAAAATGATCGTAAAATCAGACTCTTCGATTTCAGCCGTATATGGATAGTCCCCGCGTTTCTTAGAATAAAATTATATGAAATAACTTTGACATCAACTTCCTCGAGCCTCTCACGATGACGTCATGCTTATGATGTAAGCTTTCGTGATGACTGAAACATCCCATCAGTTCATCATCCCAAGAGCATTCAATACACTGTCGGTTTATTTCCCAAAAAAATGGTGATATCGTCGCCGATCCGTTTCCCAAAAAAGCATTGATTGTGACTGTAGATACGTTTCCCAAAGGCATTGATTGCGCCGCCGGTTACGTTACTACCTTTCTATAAATGGGAGGTTACTTGAACCAAAATTCCACCCAGTAAATCATTCTTCAACAGCCTTTATCCCTTTTCTTCTCTTCATCCTCATCCAAACTCTAATTTCCATGGTTCAAGCATGTGACTGTAAGGTCACACGACAGCGGTTTTGCCAGTTATGCCATGGCTCTTTTTTAAAGCTTTTCCCCACTGAGTGGGATCATACTGGTTTGTTGTTGTTGGCCCGAAATAATGAGAGAGGGGCTTCAAATTATTCCTGTATCAGAGGATATGTGGACCGTGAACCGCTGCTCATCTCTCTTAACTTCAACTTGATGTGGCACCTCATTCCTTTTGCTTTCCATGGAGTGAGGTGGCATTATCTACTAACCTTTGCATCCCACACTGGTGCAGTGTCTCAAGAAGTGGCTTCACAATAGTAGTGCTGACGAAACCCGTACTCACCAAATTTTTCACCAAGCCACAATTTTCCCCGCTTGTTAAAAGCCTTTGCTCTTTGATAGGCTATAGCTGTCTCGGATGAGTCTCTCAAAGATATTGCTCTGAAGATCGAAATGGGATCCTCGAGGGAACGATTTTCGCAGACGTCGCGTTCGAGGATGTACCCTCGAAAGTAGTTTAGACTCTTCAGCCGTTGTTTTTTGCTTCTTTGTTTCTGTGTAAGGACCCCTCGTGGGCTTTTGTAATCATTGCTTATTAATACAACAGTTACTTCAATTTGTTTTTGTCTTGTGCTGGATTCCCTTTTGCCTGTGTTTGCAAAAAAATCCAACCGTGTGACTTTATCGATCAGTCCGAATACTGGACTCGGACATAGGAATTCCTTTGGTTCTCGATTGGTTAATATGATATTCCCTGAAACACTTTGCCATTCCTCAGACTAAGTCTGGGTTGATCTGATACAAACTTAGGCCGTCGAAACTTCTGAGTTCGAATTGAATGTGAGCGGGGCCTCGAATTTCTTCAAAATAAAGCTTAGCCCCTTTTATGCACCATTGATAGTCCTCAAGTGAAAGTTCGCTTGATCATCTGAAAATAAAGATAGCCCTTAGGCTTTTGCAAATAGTTCCTGAGCGAGGATACACTCGAACTCGGGTGGCCCTTGGGCTTAGTAATTGAGCGAGTGTTTGCTCGGACTCGAAATAAAGATAGCCCTGAGGCTTTATGAATAGTCCCCAAGTGAGAGCTGGCTCGAAATCGGGTACCCCTTGGGCTTAGGAATCGGGCGAGCGTTTGCTCGGACTCGAAATAAAGATAGCCCTGAGGCTTTATAAATAGTCCCCGAGTGAGAACTGGCTCGAAATCGAGTAGCCCTTGTGCTTAAGAATCGGGTGAATGACCTGCACTTCTAATAGCATAGATCCTCGAGATCGGGAACCATCTCGAGGCTAGGTTTATGTGGTTAACTCATTAGATCCCATCGTTATAACAACAGAGATCCTCGAGATCGGGCACCATCTCGAGGCTAGGTTGATATAGGAATCTGTGACCCCTCGAGCGTTATACGACAGCGTCGTTCGTACGACATGGTTATGAAATGACTGAGGTGGTCCCGCCGGTACACTTCTCCGAAAGTGATAATGGCCTAGTCAGAATTAATTGGCCTTTAGAGTAGGCGGACAGTCGCCGCTTGCTCTATATATGAGTTTGCTTTCCTCTTATTTGAGGATTCTGCTACTTTGAGCAGCTATCCTTTTCATAGAGCTCTTCTTCCTTGCGTCAGCTCTTTTACCATTTTAATTCGAAGCTTTCGCCTAAGTTCTCATTTCCCCTTTCTTGTTTCACCATAGTTATGGCTGCTACGCCCAAGCCCGTTCACCAAGAAGAGGGGAGTTCCGCCTCTGCTTCCCGCTTGGTCGGTGGTACACCGTCGGCGTCTGGTGAGCCAACCTCGAGATGTTTTGTTTCGAGGAGGGACTTTTTGTTAGAGAGACCTCCCAATGTTCAGGGCCATTGGGAGCATGCATCGAGGTCCATTTCATCAATAGGAGAGAAACACCTCGAGGCAGTGAGGAGAGACTGCGG